GATACTGTCTTCAATAAACTCTTGAGCCTGGTTTCCATATGGTCGTAAAAATAGAGTCACGACCTTTCTTAACCGTTTATATAATACTTTACACCTGTAAACCACATATAAATCGTAAGTATTCTCTAGCGTATTTTCAGTTCTAAAATGTAGTATTTCGGCTGATGAGAAAGATCGTGACTCAATCTTTACGCCGGTTACGATCATATGGAAACCAGGCCTTGAACAGTTGAATTGTCGCCAAAACGTATTGTCCTGTCAATCAACTAAATTCACATGTATTGATTGTTTTATCCGCTAAATCTACTAATAAAACAGAGAGTTATTGGAGCAAAAAATATGGCGGACTGTCATGAATAGCGAACACTGATCAAATTTAAAATTTGCATCATAACGACTACATGACCTGACCTGACCGCGTAGCTCAGTTGGCAGAGCATTGGGCTAGTATTCCAAAGGTCGTAGGTTCGATTCCCACCGTGGCCAGGCATATTTTTCAAGCTTGCCCGGTGTGGATATACACTCAGAGTAACATCACAAATACTTTAAATATTTCATGTTCGGAAATTACAATGGTTTTGTCAGCAAGGCGAGGGGTTTCTGCATGCATGTACTTTCTGGTTACAGTTAAAAACTGTTATATGCATGAAGTTAAATAATGCCGTAAGAACTATAATCTCAAATAACAATTTGAATACACGTATTGAAATGCAGAATAGAGGCGGTAAATATAAGGCCAACATTACCCTAAACACCTCGTCAGACATTGTTTTGCAGCCAGCGATTGAGTCAAGTTGCAAACGACCTACTTCATTCTCAGATGTCGCGATAAACAACGTCGCGTTGTATAATTCACTGTTTACTGTTGAGGCCGTGATATGCAAATTTCGTATAAGTAGAATAGCCATGCGTATATAAGTACAAATATTTTGTATACCTGTATTTCATGTTACCACAGATTTCACAACTGTATGATATGTTTAGACCATGTAGTTTGTATAGCCAGTATGGGATTGGCTAAATGGAAAGTAGAGTTTAATTAAATGAATTTGATTTTTCCCCAATTTTTGTTGCGAACAAACCACGGCAGCTTATTGTAGAATACTCTTGAACGATCTGTACCAGTGTATAGGTATAGTGCCAAGAATAACAACATTTCGTTGTTATGGATGCAACTATCTGAGAAATATACAGGGTGTCCCCCCAAAAAAGTGACACTATAGAAATTATCTCATTGTTCTTAAACCGCTCTTAAACGCGCGTGATTACACGCCTGGAAATTTAATGAACTTGTATTTACATTTAAGCATTTTAAAACGAAACGATTACACTAATAAACGGTTTGCTTTTTTATTTTAAATTCCAGAAGCAGAAGTTTATGCACCTGAGGGATCAACTTAGTGCTAGGGCATTCAAATTATAACAATAGGATAATTTCTATAGTGTCACTTTTTTTTGGGACACCCTGTAGAGCAAAATTCGTCGTTTCGAGCGAAGGCCCTTCGTCGAATTTCGTTTTTTTATTTTTCAGGTAGTTGCATCCATACCAACGAAAACTTGTTATTGTAGAATACTATCTATGCTGGACCATCACATTTGAGACATCTTTTCAGGTAGTTCACACACAAACCACGGCAGCTATTGTAGAATATTATCACATTAGACCACCACGTTTGAGATATCTTTTTCGGGTAGTTCAGAAACAAACCACGACAACTGAAAGTAGTATACTACCTACACTGCATGGACAACCACATTTGAGATATATTTTTCAGGTAGTTCAGACACAAACCACGACAACTGAAAGTAGTATATACTACCTACACTGCATGGACAACCACATTTGAGATATATTTTTCAGGTAGTTCAGACACAAACCACGACAACTGAAAGTAGTATATACTACCTACACTGCATGGACAACCACATTTGAGATATATTTTTCAGGTAGTTCAGACACAAACCACGACAGCTGAAAGTAGCATATACACCTACACTGCATGGACAACCACATTTGAGATATTTTTTCAGGTCATTCAGATACAAACCACGGCAGCTTATTACATAATACTCATCACTACGTATTCTAAATCGAATTATCACCCACCTTGCCATCCCAGCCCAGAGGTAAATTCTTGGGATTATAAAGAACAGTTTCTTCATCTTCTGAATCAGATTCATTAAAATCTTCATGCCCTTCATCGTCCTAGATTGTTGGACAAACATGTGTTTAGTTTGTCGAAAAAACCACTTATATTTATTATAGCAAAGCTTTCGACCCGTGATTGCCGCTCAACCAAGGCCAGTGAGCTCCGTATATATCTGGAGCGAGAACTCGAGCCCAGTCCCTTTGTGTTGTTGTCGCCTGCGCGGTTAACATGAAGTCGGCTAGGGGTGCGCCGAAATTTCGACATCGATTAGTATAGGTAATATGCACGAGTGACTTTTTCAAAGACCTCAAAATAGCACGAGTCCAAAGGATGAGTGCTGTTTGAGGTCTTTGAAAAACTCATGAGTGCATGTTTATCCAAATTTCACGAGAAACCATACTCTTACTTATTAATAATTTACATAAAAAAATGTTCGAGACAATTGTAGTTTTTAGCGAACCGTCCACTGGCAAAGTTTTCCTGGATTTGTTGTTATATCACATTATACAACGCTAACAACATGAAAATTCCACTCAACTATGTATGTTTTGTTAGCTAGTCTTGTTTAAAGTATAGCCTTTTCCATTTACAAAAAAAGATAAAAGCCATATTTTCCAACAGAAGTCAACTTGTTTTGTTTTAAAGCAATCTGTGACCATTACTTCTTTAAACTAAACTGCTTTAACATGATTGGTTGACTTTATGATCACATTGTTTTTCCACCAATCAGATCAGTTTGTTACAGATTTTTGCACTGTGATTACAGAAAATTTCACTGTGATTACAAAAAATTGCAATGTGATTAAAGAAAATTGCACTGCTGTTTGGAATTAACTGTAATATTTTTATGTATATTATTAAAAAAATAACAGTATGGTTTTATGTATTAATATTTCAAATCCGACCATTTAATAATTATATATCTGCTGTTCCTTGCCACAAAATGTGACATGAAGACAGACGGAATTGCTGAGCATATTTTCCGTGCGTATTAGAAGCAAAACCATTGAAATTTGCAGCTGCTTGCATGTATTAATTAATCGTATGTTTCCTCATCTTTTAAGTGTCTTTTAAGTGTATAGCAATAACATTTTAAGGGGTTTTCACCCTTAAAAATAGGTACGCGCTGCGTACATGTGGGTAGCGTGCATAGTTCGCTAATCGCTATTGACAAATCCTGAATTTACTGAAACTAAGTAAATTGGACACGGATGAAATATTATACACACATTTAATCACAAAACAACTGTTACGTGCATTTTTCAATAAGCATAAACAGATCTAAGAAGTTTAGTTACAAAGTATTAATGTGTCAAAAATAATTTGCACACAAGGTCTTACATGTAAACGAAACAAAATACTTCACGGGACGAAATACAGAACACTTAACACAAGATAATTACCTCCGCCAGGAGCACAATAACTCAAGAAATACCAAACATATTCATACGAAATTATTTGAATGTATTTCCAATCGGCTAAGGAAGAGTTAATTAAAATTTGGTTGAATTTGGTTAAAAATTGAACGAGAAATGAACACAATTTTGTCTTGCTTTTCAATTAAAAATAATAAGGACGTGTATAATTTATGCACGCAGTACTAAGACAATAATGAGATGATAAACCTCATTAAGCTTCAGCGTTCATTATCTATTGTCTTAGTTGCATTTCACACGACCGAAATTCAATGCGGGCGGAGGTATGCAGTCTCTGAGTGCCCTCTAGTTTTACATAAAACGCTAGATATACTAATTATGCATAGAACGAAGATAGCAATTTACTATCGATAAATTACAAAAATATACATGAAGCAGCAATAGAAACACCAGGCGGAAATCGAATTCTAGTTAGAAATATTATTGCCCAGCAAATAATTCGTAAAAATATTTATTTAGTAACGTTTCGTCACATTACAAGCGACATCGTCAGACTAAATACAGTTAAGCTATTTCATCTACTTTATAACAATTTTTTTAAATTTATGATATACATTTACAAACGGTTAAAAGTTAAAATTAGCAAGGTATAATGTTCATGGTATATTCACGTGTATGAACAAGATACTGAGATTAGTAAATTAGTAAAAGATATAGATTAAAAAGGAATGTCAAGTGGTTAGTGTTAGTGTAAAGTGGTTAGTGTTTGTGGTAGTGTTTCCTCTTGTTAATTTACTAACATCTTTTAACACTGACGCTAACCAACTGACATTCCTTTTTAATCTATATCTTTCACCAATCTCAGTATCTTGTTTATACACGTGAATATACCATGAACATTATCGCCCGTATTCTAAAAGCTCACTCACACTCAACTAGTGGATGTTCAATCTGAGCTTCTGTTCAGTTTCAATGCTGTTTTTGAATAGCTGGAGGGTTAGTGTCGTACCTTACTATGTAACTACTCACCTTCCAGCTATTTAAAAACACCATTGACACTCAAGAAAAGCTCAGATTGAACCTCCACTCATTGAGTGTGAGAGTGTGAGTGAGTATTAACTGTTTGTAATTGTATGTCATGTATTTTTTAAAATTTGTTATAAAATAGATGAAATAGCTTAACTGTATTTAGTCTGATGATGTCGCTTGTGATGTTACTCTGAGTGTGTATCCACACCGGGAAAGCTTGAAAAATATGCATGGCCACGGTGGGAATCGAACCTAGGTCGGTTCGAGTATGTGATATTTCGGAACCGTATCTAGTTCCTACGATATCAATGTAATCTAATAATCATGATTTTTTCTGTGTTGGTGTAATGTACTTAGGTGAATACGATGCTTGTGATGTTACTCTGAGTGTGTATCCTCACTAGACTCTGTTCCGAAATATCACATACTCGAACCGACCTGACCTGACCGCGTAGCTCAGTTGGCAGAGCATTGGGCTAGTATTCCAAAGGTGAAAAGTCGTAGGTTCGATTCCCACCGTGGCCAGGCATATTTTTCAAGCTTGCTCGGTGTGGATACACACTCATGCAGAGTAACAGCACAATCATCATATTCACCTGAGTACATTACACCAACACAGAAAAAATCATAGTCTGATGATGTCGTCTGTAATGTGACGAAATGTAATGTGGCAATAAAACTGTTAACTAGAATACATAAAGCACTACCTCAAGTTCATCTGTTGTCCTCGCTTGTTTCCTTACAACATTATCACGAGTGGCTGCTCTTTGCTCCTATGGAAGACATATGCTTTGCTTTAAATATGTTAGCATATACAATTTCTTAGCCTAAAGTTGAAGATCGTTTTGTATTTTTGTTCTACATATTTTAACGTAGTTGCAACATTCATTCATAAAAAAATATTTGACCGAATTAAGCCCAGGAATCATGCTTAAAACAATTTTAAGTTTAAGGATAAGTTGTATGTTGTAGTATTTATACTTAAGGTGGCTCGATATACAATCAGTGAGAAAACACTTTGGACAAAATAGCAAAAGAGCGTACATTTACAAAACAATCGACCCCCCGCACCCCCCGTTCAATGTTGTGTGTGGAAATACCTGCGCAAAATGTTCCTTGCCAGCCACCCAACATTGTTTAGGGTGGGGGAGGGAGGGATAGTGGCTTTATGCTGAACAGTATTTGGAAATGCGGAGATATGTATATATTATACCACTGTCCAAAAACCTTTTGTCACTGATTGTAGTTATCACAAAAACTCGCGAACAAAACCCAGTGACCATTTTTACGCGCAGGTCGCGGAAACTGATTAACAAAATGAAAGAACTTCCAAAATTACCTGACGTGACCAGATGCTCGCGCCATATCACGCCATTGCGCGTGTTCGACGGCGTTTTATGTCAATTGCTGACGTCATTAGAATTTTCCATTTTAGAAAAACAATGCGCTATATCTCTCTATTTTGTCTGGCGACCTATGTTCAAATTTTTCATGCTGATTCCACCGCTAAAATATTTCATCACACAAAAAATTTAAAAATTCTGTAATGCCAAAAACATTGCACCGAAGAGTGCGACATTTTCGCAATTTCCAAAAAAAAACAAACGGCATTACAGAATTTTTTAAAGAGTCCCTAATGTGAACAAATTTTCTGGTTCACAATTGTAAATGAATATAAACTAGAGTACATTTCAATTCAAAAAAGTTCGAAAGCGATGCAAAATTTGAGCAATGTCTATATCTGTGGGTCCCCATTTGTTAGGAGCAGAACTGATGCGCAGAACGGACTTGGCATGGTCTTTAATATTTTGCTAATTGTTAGCTTTTCGTTCAAGTAAAATAATGCACGAAAACAAATTGGTGGTCACCGTGCTTCTTTTCTAACTATACGAGACGATAGGCCATTTTGGAGTGAATTTTGTACACGTATGTTGTCATAGCAACAAACTATCTGTTACTAAAACTAATATAATTTGAAAGAGGAGATATCAAAATATATAAAAACCACAACATCTGGCAAGAGAGCACAGCAGCATTCTTTTCGACGCGCATCTGCAGGCTATTTTCACATGGTCGTCCGCTGTACATTGTATCGCATGTAACGGTTTTGTAAATACGCGCGAAACTTACAATAAGAAATAAAGGGGAGTGAAACTGTGGGCACGTGATCAATATTAACCAATAGCATTTCGGGATTTGAGAACCGCTTTCTCCAAGGTTTGTAGCAAAACCAAACGCTTACAATCAGATTAGAGTCGACTGTAAAAGCCTACCAAAAACTGATTTATTCACAATTCGTAAACGTTTCAACTCTGATTCCTTTTTAAATGTATGATATAATGCTTCTACTGCACTTCGAGAATATTGCCCATAGCATGTTCGAGAGTGGTAATAATATAAATTTTGTCATTATTTATATTAATGTTGTTAGTTGTGAATTGTGATTTTTTCTGTGTAATGTATATTAGTTATATTAAACACAAATATTCCCGTTTTAATATATTGTATGCTGGTTTTACTTGGATAATTTCACATTAGAATATTTGAAAATGGCTTTAATGTTATAAAGTAACACAGAATATAACAAAATCATGACGAAATGTCGAAATTTGACCCCATTGTTTAGTATATTAATGTACTGAAATACGATTAAAAAAGACAAATATATGGCATAATATACGATCAACCACAGTTTGGATTAACTATGGATCAACTCACGTTAAAAACATGTGAACTGAAGCCAAGATTGCATAATTCCATAATTATATCTAGCAGTGGCCTGTGCCTATCAACGGTTACTGTGCCTAGCAATTTGCTACAGCGTCTGTCGAAAGATTTTACCGGATGTGCCCACAGTTTCACTCCCCTCTATTTCTCATTTAATCTTCTTTTAATCGAAACATGTAGCGCCGCAGGTCAATTTTTCCGATGCTCATATTTGTTTTTTCCGCACTTTGGTCGGATTTTTAACTTTTTGGGGGGTAGTTTTTGAGCTTATAAAAACTGTCTTCACTCCTAGGTTTGTCGCCAAAAAATAACTCTTTTTTGGTCACGGTCAAGATACCGCAAAAAAGCTGTCCGCTCCTGGTGTCAATCATATTGCAAGAAACAAAAAATATCACCACATGCAAATGCATGAAATAACAAGATAAATAAACTTACTCCTACTAATTCGACCAGTCTATACACTTGACTCTCTAAAGATGCGATTTCCTTTTGTTTCGCCACATTTCCCCTTGAAAGAAAGAATACAAATCTATACATGAATACACGAACCAGAATTCTTTCAAATGACAAAACTCTTCCACATGATGGCAGAAAACATACTTTCCCTTAGAACCTTTTGATTTGGCAAACAGCGAAGTTTCAAACTCATCCGCAGATTTCCCTACATGTTTAAAGAAGTTATTAAAGAAAATATGCATAAACACTAAAGCAAATTATACTTAATCAACTTATAATGGATAGCAAATTAAGTTTATTAATACTACATGGATAGCTCTATACATCTAGATAGAATTAAAGTTTGTTCGTTCACTGCAACCAGGTATATCAATCATGTATCGCCCGCTACTCTGGTTTAAATAAATGATTACAAAGTCCAGTCGAATAGACCTTTCCCCTTTGAGTGAAAGTTTGATCTAGACAAGTCTGGAGAAACATTTCATCACAGCTTGAAAGAGCATCACAAAATTACTGATATTCCGACGTTTCGTTGCGAAATGTTATAAAATGCAGATAATATAGCCTTGCGAAGTTTGCTGTTTTTCAGTCATCTTGCATTACAAATGGGAAATTGGTAATCAGTTTGATCATCTCATTCCAACAATTCGAGCGATACATGATCTAGATAGAAGTTGAGCTATAGGGCTAATCTGGGCTATTCTCTTCTAAGTATACACTCAACCAAGGTCTATAATAAATTCAGCATTCTGATTGGCTACTCGAAAGGTGGCAAAAACCTTTTTGTTTTCAGGGCAATTTTGTAGAAAATTCTTTCCCTGATAAAGACTATACAAAATATGATCTGGAGACGTTTAATGGCAGGTAGCAAAATTTAAACCGTATTTTAATAATATATCTGCTGTTGCTTGCCACAAAATATGACATTAAGTTAGACGGAATTTGCTGAGCACATTTTCAGTGCATATTAGAAGAAAACCGTTGAAATTTGCAGCTGATTGTATCAATTAATAATTTTTATGTTTTCCTCAACTTTTAAGTGTCTAAAATGTGATAGTATTTTTCAGTTATTTTGTCATGTATTCCATCGATTTCAACGACATTAGGATTGATTTTCGTGTTACGAATATTAAAGGTGATCTACAGTCCGTATGTAAACAAAGCCTTTGTTTACACTTTTGCGTCCAAAATATTGAGCTTTATTCGACAACTATTTATATTTTCAAGCTTCTAGAGTATAATAAATGATCAAGAAACAACAATCAGGCTTTGCAAGAACCCAAAACATAGTTAAACTGTTTGTATCATAAAAAGTGGGCTCCTTTGTGCACATGCGCAGATCGTACTATAGATCACCTTTAACGATAACGTCTGGAACATTATTGGAAACCATATTGTTTGCAATTTGAAAACATCAAGTTCTAGACTTTTAAGTCTGTGGTCCTTGTATTTCCCCTTGTACTTCGCTTGTATTTCCCCTTAATATCGTGACTGTTTATGCATGGCCTTTAAAAACCTTTTCATCAGGGGCTGGTTGTCCAAAAGCTGGTTAACTTTAACCCAGGATTAGCGCTAACCCTGGGTTAAAATCCTTAACTCAGGGTTAGTTAACCCTGACTGTGAGTTAAAACTTCGGTGTTCAAAGCTGGGTTAGCGGTGCGGTTAGTTAACCCAGAGTTAACACATTTAACCCAAGTTAAATTTGTTTTAAAAATAAATGTAATATAAGAACGTTTTTGATTGGCTGGAAAGTAAGTGTCAAAACTAGGGATAGAATGGGATAGATGGGAGAAATATTGTTTAACAAGTAATAGAACATTTCGGACTAGTGAACTCCATTTAGACTGGAACTTGGCCGCCATCTTTGAAGCCAATTTGAAGCCGAATTGACGTGGCAGTGCCAGTCCCTTTATATTGTTTTTGTAGGCGCAGTTGACAACGGCACCGACGAAAACAATAGAAACGGACTGGCACTTTCTGGCACTGTACGTCAATTCGGCTTCAAAGATGGCGGCCAAATTACAGTCAGTTATCGTTACTCAGACATGGATTTAAGCATTTTGAAAGTTTCAAGAAAAAAATATACTTGATCAAAGCGGCGAAGCCATTAAAATAAATCAATTTTGGAATTTTAGGCAGTGAACAAAATCCCAGCCAATCCTAGACTTGCTCCAAGTCTCTTTCATTGTCATATAGTATCGATCCACTATAGTGTACATTACATGACGTAGTACGGAGGGGTGGAGCGAGAAAGAGAGACTTGTCAACTTCGGAAAATCTCGGTTCAAAACTGAACCTAAAATGCAAGGCTTGCTTTAATTGTTTTCTGTCAGTGTTTATAT